TTCCAGAGGGTGCACCTCTGCAAAAATGCATGCGATGCGTAGCTGACCATGGTGTGTTCCCTTTCAACATCACCGCTGTCCCCTAAGGTCATGACAGCCAGTGGACGGGGCCGGGCGGTCCGAGCATGGTCCTTTTTGGTGGATCTACAGTGCCTGTGCCTCGCCGGAAGGAATGAAGCAAGCTTGTGAACTTTGTGAACGTATCGAGTGTGTTTTCTGGGGTATGGTGGGGCTCGGTTTCACCCTTAAGACCCCTTCAGCGCGAAGCGGAGACCGGCGAATGGTGTCTCCGTTGAATTAAGGCGTTTAATGCCAACTCTGGTGACTCTCAACACTGCGTTGAGTGCATGCGACGGAGCTGGAGAGGGTGGTTGTAGCATGTGAATGCCCAAAGAATGCAGCTGCTTCGGATGCAACAAGGCCTCACCACTCACCACATGTCATGACTTCCAGGAGATTGGGACGCTGCCATAGCATTGCTTCACTTGGCGAACGACCGATTGGAACCAGCCTTGAGCTCAGCCATCCAAAGCAACAGTCCTCAATGTGCCCAAGATTCTTGCATTTAATGCAGGTGCGAGCGCCAACCGAGGATTCAGTGTCGCTCACTGCCTTGCTGGGGGCATGTTCTCGAGTTGCCCAGTGGCCCAAAGCACTGGAACTGTGGCAGGGCACAGAACTACCCAGAGATCGGCAAGCAGAATCTTAGGCCAATGAGGATGTGTGCAACCTCTGTGTGGGGCAAATGAATGCCAAAGTTTAAAGAGAGGATCAGCAGATCCAACCTCAGCCATGCAAGCTCCTTGAACGTTTAAGACTGCAACTGGACCATGCAAAAGTCCGTTGGTCGTTTCTGAGGAAAGTGTTGCAGCGCTCGCGGTCGCCAAAGGCTTTCTATGGAGCTCTGAGCCTTGTCCGCCGTGAATTGTCGGGCCAGCCCGTTTTGGATGGGCGAAGCGGGGTTGTGGTGAAGGGCTTTTGTCACTTTGGCCAATCAAGCAGCTTCTACATGTGACAGGAGAAACGGTGTGTGTTCTTAAGGGAATCGGACTTGAAGAAAGGCACTTCGAAGCGTCATGTCATATCAATACGAGGTGAAGTGCCGATTCGTACAGGCTTGGCCCTAGTAACCACAGGGTGTGGCAGATATCTTCCTGCAGCCTCCGGATCACCGCATTTGAGGCCTTGCTGGGCCTCACTGATATGAGTGCAGCGCTGCATGACTGGACTGGACACTGGGAGATGGCACTCAAGGAATGTCAAAGATCTCAAGAGCAAGGCTAGTTGTATTGCTGGACTGAACGATCACACTGCATTTCGAAAAATAAGCTCACGAACTGAGCATTCGTCCGGCTTGAAAGGTGTCAGCATTTCCACGGACTTCTTGAATGCAGTGCCGAAGCGGCATTATCGGTGGATGACGGCGGTGCCAGTGCCATTGAACATTGTTATTGTTGTACAATTAGTTTTATGATTGGTATGATGTCATGCAGGACGTGCTTAGCAGCAGGTGCTGGCAGACAAGTTGTATAGATCCTTTCAACCTCTTCCAATACCTTGATATGGAATAAGCTGTCCAAAGAAGATGGCCAAACACGTTTGTATTGGTCTTGAGCTTCCACTCTTGAGTCACTTTGACAAGATTTCATTCTAGGCCATTAGTGCCTGCAGTTCTTTCTGGCGCTGGGCGATACGGCTCTTTGGTTGCGCAGTGGATTTCCGAGCTCACATTGGCCAAGCCTCACGGCTGCATGAAGAGCACGGAGCACTGCAAGAGCGGTGCGAGCAGATTTTGACACCATAAAGCAACATCGCTCTTTCATTGCAGCTCACGCCTTGAGGTGTCGTATGCAGCTGCTTTGAGCGCCTTCAGTGATGGACGATTCTGGCTCAAAGCCATGCTACTAAGCTGATTCTTTAAGTTCTTAGTGTTCTTAGTGTGCCCGAGGAACTTTAGAATTGGCTCAGTCACTCTTGGAATGAGTCTCGAGATTGTGACGAGCCATAAATACACACCCACACACACACACATATATATATATATATCATATACAAGCAGTTCCCGGGCAAGCTGGCGGCGGAAGTTTTCTATAAGAACAATTTGACCTACAAGTATAGGAGTGTCCCTTCGCACATGCCCTGCGCACCCCCTTTTTTTTCCGGCCCGCAACGATGGCGTCATGCAAGCAGCCCACAACGGCGTACTCGCTCTGGCACTGTGCATGCAGTGGCACTGTGCATGCAGTGGCTTCTTCTTTTGCTTCTCATCGGGGGTTCACAGCAACGCACCGAAGTCCAAGAGCACAGCCGATGCGTCACCGACTCACCGCACCCTTTTGTTCCACACAGTGAAAAGAGTCCTGCGCGGTAGCAGCTGTTTATGCGGTTCTCAACGACGGACATAGGAGCATTTCCCGGCTGTCTGCGCGGACCACAGCGACGCACGCAGACCGATGCCTGTCGGCAAGACCAAGGAACGGTTCACCCAGCACCTCCGGCGGGGGCTGGACGAGGTGGAACAACTGGCGGCGGGGGTGCTTCTCTGCCAGCAATCCAAAACACCGGGGGCTGCAGCACACCTATCGTCATAGCAACGGCAATCCGCGCGCCAGCGTGTGGCATATGCAAACGACCACCGCGTGCGGCATTGGAAGCTATGATCCCGGCCCCAATGAATTCGCAAGCCTCCTAGTTTCGCAATCGAGTGCGCTGCGCTAGTTTAGCAGCCGCTGCGAGATCATCCCTAACCAAAACATCCCAGCAAGCTTCACAGACGCCACTTCTCGTGTGCTCAAAGACGCGAGGCCGTTCTGCAACCGTCGTTCCGCAGAGCTTGACTTGCCAGGTTCGGAGCCACCCTTTGTATTGAAAAACCACAACATTTCGTGCGCCCGCTATCTCTCGAAAATGCATTTTGTGCGAGACTTCCAAAATGAATGTTGAAGAGTGGAGCTAGTGCTAACTAGAGCGGGATCCAGCGGAGCTAAAGCGAACCAGAGCTACAGCTAACTGGAGTTAGCGCTAACTAAAGCTCGATCTGACTGGAACTAAAGCTGACTAGAGCTAAGCGAACCACGGCTAGAGCTAACTGGAGTTAGAGCTAAGAACTGACTGGAGCTAAAGCTGACTAGACAGACCTACCTGGAGCTAGAGGGCTGACTGGAGCCAGAGTTGTTGAAAGTCCGTAACACGGAAGTTTTGCACACTAAACTTGCTTTGGACATACATATAATTACATATATATATATATATAAGTGTGTGTGACACTGTGTGTGTGAAAAACATATATATATATATATATTCAGTGTGCTGGTTTAACTCCACCCTTTAACTTTAGCCAATGCCGATGCCCAATGCACTGTCGTCATGACTTGATGCAGGTCATGGCTGCGTGAGGCACGGCATTTCCACTGCACGGGTGATGATCTCATGACCTGCTTCAACACTGCCATGTCGTGCCTCGATCTGCAAGAACGATTTGATGATTCAGAATCCCGCGGTAGAGCGACTCCACCCAAACCTTTGTAGAGCGACTCCACCCAAACCTCCCAGGTCCTAGTGCAACCCATTTTGACATTTTGTGGACCATCAGCCAAGGTACCAGCGAGTAAGTTGTCCGTCTCGTAAAGTCAGTCAGTCGACACATCAAAGGCAGGAACACGGAAGATCCATGAACTTTGAATGACCATCAACTGAAGAGCAAAGCTAGCTATATAAAGGATGTTAAGAACGAACCAGTCATAGGACAATCCATCACCAGTCCAACATCAGTCGTGACCCGTTGAGGTGCTGTGAAGATCCATCAACTTGGAACTCTTGCCTCCAAGTGCTGGACAATCTCCTAGAGGCCGAGCGGTCTCTCGGACGGCCAAGCACCTCCCAGGGCCTACAGTATATCGGTGAACTGATGCTGACTGGGAACTTTGGACCATTGGACAGGTGAGATTGAAGTCCGGAACCTTCGAGATTACTTTGTACATTTGCTTGTGCATGTTTGATCATTTTTGTAAATCCTTCCGAAGCGTCGTTCCCAGCTTCCCATTGGTTGACCCGTGCTCCGGCATCTCAAGAATGCAGGCCACCATCAAGCCAGACCAGAAGAGTTACAGATCGCCAATTCGCGGCACCGGGTATGGAACTGGTCATGAACCCCAGCTGGGTTGGAGCCGTTGGCGTAGTGATTTGACCACTTGCTTTTGAGGAATCACAAGCTCCCGATCCACGATGCAGCTAAGTTGTCACTCATCCTCTACTCTAACTCTAACTTGAAGTCTTCACACAGAAATGTGGGTCTTTGCACGACTGAACGTGGCAACGTTATCATGATCTATTCGCGCAGAACTGAAAGGGGTTCTCCTACTCGAAGGGAACATCAAGATACCAAGGCTGGCGCACAGCCATTGGGCTGTTGGAAAGCATGGTGCGAGGTGGGGGTTCAATGTCCATGTTCAATCATTTTTGTATGAAGCACACGATGATGACTGAATGCGGGCAATTCTACCTGCTCCCATTGCGACTCTTTTTTGAGACGAGGTGCCATCAATGACGACGACCACTCAGCCCTGTCAGCGACCATTTGGGCTGCGGAGGTGCCAGAGCACGGCTCACAAGAAGATGAGAGAGAGGGGAGAGAGAGAGAGAGAGCCCAATAGAGGTGGCCTCCAACCTAGAATCTAAGAAGCAATGGCCTCCAACCTACTAGCAATGGCCTCCGAAGCGATGGCCTTCAACCCAATAGAAAGCATAAGCTACAACCCCAAATCTGAGCAGTTTCTGGCCAGGTTGCGGGTTTGCCTGCCCAATCTGTGCCGACGCGGTTGAAAAGAGCATGGCTTGATTCAAGAGAATCAAGGGAAAGCCTTTCGCGCACTAGTTCACTAGTTGCACCGACTGGCGCGCGTGTGTGCGCTCAATTAGCAAGCGTCGGGCATCTCCATCTTTCGACTGCTCAAGCGTTGCCGCCACCATATTCTGTGCGTCGGGCCTCGAGTTGACTTCAGGCTTGGCAAAGCTCCAGCGGAAGAGCCTGCTAGGGCCTCAACGAGCTGGCGGGGCTTTGTGCTACTACCTCGCGCCCCTGCGATGTCGCTATGTACACTTTACTACGAGTAGCGCATCACAAGGCGTACTGCTACACTGTTGCTGCAGCAAGGCGTACTGCTTTCCAAGAGCTCAGCCGCTATCAAGGCCGACCGACCATGTTGCCGCTGTTAGCACAACTTGCATTGAAAGGAGCTGTAGACATTGCTCTAGACAACCAGCATTTTGATCTCTAGTCTTTTCTACATCTTTCTACACCAAGCTGCTGCAAGCTTCTTCACACCACCAGGCTGAGGATCATCCAAAGTCAACAGGTGATAGCAGTGCTTGATGGAAGATCCATTCCTCTTCCACCTGCACTTCGAGCCGGCCTCGGGGCCTCTTTTGCTGCCAGGTGGCCGTGCCCCAGCCTCGGATCTGCCGCCCTTGACAGGCTTGGGCTCCATCAACGCACAGCAGCCCTTGAGCTCAGTGTGGAATCGGGTGTGCTACGATAAGAGATGGTAGCTCATGTTCGATCAGTAGCTGAATCCAGTGCATTTCATCGGGATAATTTCCCGAAAGAATCCTGAAGAGTTGGGTGAATGTTCATGAATATTCAACTGTAGTGTGCGAAAGGTGTTGTGGCTAAAAGATTTGGCTTGATAAATAAACTTCAGACTTCAGAAACCACGCAGGAGTCTGTAAGATCTCTGAGTTGCAGCAGCTGCAGGTTTTGGAAGTTGTTCCTGTAGCTTTTGAAACTTATCCCATGCGAACTGAGCTCATCACCGAGGCTTTTCTCTGCCTTTGTTCCCACCAGTCCATCTCTCATGGCGCCTCCACGCAGAGGCGTGTGAAGCAACGACATGTCTTCGCGGGGCTAGTTGGGTCAGGAACACACATGTATTATCATGTATTTCACTCTAAATTTCTAAATGCAGGAATTAGCAGTAAACCTGTTACAGCAAATTGCTATAGTGGTAAAGTGTTGCACCAAGGGTTTGCTCTGATGCTTCCACCTGAAAGTTGGGTTCATGGTGTGTGGCAGTAGGGGAGGGCATTCAATGGCATTCAGGGTGTCGAAGGAGGCCCTTCCACTGTGCAAGGTCATTTGGTTCGACGTGCTGCGACATCGCAGATGTGACACGCCAGATTTCCAGTGAACAGGTTTTACACCCTGGCTGGATTCTCTGTGTACATAGAGTTGGGCATGTTGGGCTGCATATGGCAAGCTTAAGATGCTGTGTACAGCTCTCGTCCAGGAAGCGAAAGCCGCACATCGATTTGACGTGATGCTTTGCATGTGTTTGCTATGTGTGGCAGTGGCACTTTGCTTCATTTCGAGCGGAGGAGTGTGTCAGTGTAGCCTGCAGGTCCTCAAGCTCAAGTGTGAACACCTCGAATTGAGCTGAGCTCCTCAATGCAAAATGGGTCCATTAGGTCGTGCTAATCATTTGAATGTAATAGATGATTTGTTGTATCATATGCAACTAAGGGGGTGAAAAAGACCATACGCCCATGGCTAGGCCACTAGGTGCAAATAAGGCACGTCAATGTGAATGCACACACACACATATATATATTATATAATATATATATGTAATTACTTGCATTCAGAATTGCACCATGTAAAGCGGAAATGGTTTGCCCCTAGGGCCATAGGAGCAAATAGCATGACAGCACCATGAACTGCCTTGAGCCTTTCATTTGCATGTTGCACAGCCACCAATGCAGTGCAGATGGGCCAAGGACCCAGAACAATTCCGGAACAGTTCATTTTGCATGTTTCACTTAACAGTCATTTTGATACAGCATGACCAATGACGACATGTGCGGGATTTTCAGCTCCCGCTTCAGGAGCACAGGTGGCCAGCCCAGCAGAAGAGCAGGAGGGGATGTCAATACCAAGAGCTGACTGATGCACACCAACACTATCCAACACTCCAGGTGGCTGGGAACTTTCTGGATGGAGCACCCTTTGAAAAGGTCGTTGCACCGCCTCTGCAGGCAGGGCGGTTGGCCAAACTCGGCCGACAAACAAACACGAAGAGCGCAAAAGACTTTTGCTGCAGCATTTGGAGATGCTTTCCACTTTCTAACTTTCGTGATCCTTTCTCATCCTATCAACCTTTGGCTGTCCCACGGTCCCACGGCGTGTTGAGGCAGAGCAGACATCCTGTGTGCTCCTCTTGGATCACCAGTTCGGAGCTAAAAGTCCGGTACAAGGGGATGAAAAGGACAACTTAGAGGGGAGGAACAGTTTTGTATCTCAATAGCCCTTTCCACTTGCATCTTTTGTTTAATGAGACTGAATCGCAAAGGAAGTGCTCTCGAGGTTGCTCTGCTCCTGCCTCTCTTTCTGGACAACAGTTGTCGATGTTGCGCGAGCCAGTGCAGCGTGCCCAAGGCTCAGAGGTTTCCTTTCGGAGGCTTAATGTGAAGCATGGCACTTGAGACGGCATCATGCAACAACATGTAACAGCATGTCATGTTTGTCAGCCTAGGCAGGCATTGGCATCGGCTCTTTGCTGGGCAGAAGTGGTTAGAACTTTGCGTGCAGAATGGCCAATAACTTAGTCTACCTGCTCACATTGCTGCTTTCCAAATATGAGCCCATTGAGCCAGGCGGGGTGCTCAAAGAGCAGCGCCTCAAGTTATGGCGGCACCTCACAGCAGTTGAGCCTGAGATTGCTTGAGTTTATGATATGTGATGCAGTGAGGCTGTGCTCAAATAGCAGGGCAGCACTCGGGGTTTCAAACTTCCAAAACTTGCTGGTAGATAAATGCAAACAATATAGATAGAGCTTTGACACAAGACCGATTCATGTTTGGCAATCAGCGCCTCGAAAAGGAGGCAGCTGACTAACGAATCTGTTGCTCGCAATAGGTGGCCGAGATTGAAGCGGGCCGGTTCCCAAGTCTTTAGTGCATGAGTTCACGGAAGACCCCCAGCAAGACCTATCAAAGCACCATCAACCAATCACACCCCTGCATCCAACCATGCAGTTGGGAGTGATGCTTCCAGTATTTGTCCTGCCATGATTCCGATTCCGCCTGCGTAGAGCCAGGTTGGTGCCGAAAGTTGGGCGTCCAAAGTTCCGCTGACGCCTTTCATGCGCTGTTGCAGCAGCCACTGCCCAAACCTGAGTCATTCTTTTCTTTAGGCAAACTTGCGTCATCGGTAGTCTGTAGCCTGAAGATGGAGCATATAACTGATTGCAGGGTGGATGGCGCGGTCGAGATTCACTGCCAAAAACCGTTCCCCACCTGACACCATGTCCCTCATACCACCTGACAGGTCACAATCGAAGATCTCCGAAATTGAGCGAGATGTTCATCGTACATATCCTTCTCACCCACGCTTTTGCGGAGAGGAAGGCCTATTTTGTATCGGTGGATGGTTCTGGTGAGTCACGTGAGCCATGCAGTGGGAATTGTTGTCCAATTGGGTTCCTCAGAGAATGCAGCCGCCTGTTGCACAGGTGTTAGAGGCCGAGTTGAACTGTCTCAGGTGGCGGGCACACGAACTTAAACCACACTCCTGCAGAAGATGAAACCCCGAATCGCAGGTGTTGCAGGCAGTGGTGCTGGCAGAGTTCTGACCTTTGTTTGTACGGTGATTGTTGGCACAAGATGCACAAGCTGATCATAATTGATCATAAACAATTGACTAAGTGGCTGTTGGGGTTGGTGGTGTTAAGACCTCTAAGGCCCAATGTTGGCTACTGCCAAGGGATGAACTTTGTTGCAGCCACGCTGTGAAGCTCTCAGCACTTTCTCATCCAAGATGTTGAAAACCAGCTTGTCCTGAGGTGTTGAACAAGCAAGCTGAAGTAACAATAGGAGTCAGGTTGTAGTGCACTAATTACAGGGCGCCAGTAGGTTGGAGGCTGGAGGCCATTACTAGTAGGTTGTAGTGCACTACAGGGATCTCTTCATGTTCCATTGACGCGTCGGTTTCCTACTGAGTCCCAAGGTTGATACACGTGGACTCGGTGCAGGAGGCATTTTGGCTTCTTTTGACGTTGCTGCAACGCAGCACCCTCGGCATCCTGTTCATCAGCTGGAAAGACCTCGTGTTGATTGAGGTTATCACTTCCGATGTGTTTTTGCCCCAGGGGCAGGGCACCCAGCAATGAATGGAGCAGGATGCCATTTTCTAAGTCCGTGCAGCAAGGTGGAAAGGCTTGCGCAACGTTGCACAAATGTGTTTCATGAGCCCCATGAGCGCGGCAATTCCGAAGAGCATTGCCAAGGTCCCACTTGTCCCGTTCGAAGCCTAGAATCTTTTCTTGATGGTGCCTGCCACCCGGTGGCGCCCTGATGCTTTGTGCGGGGAGCTCTCTCAAGGCTTAGAGTCTTCCAATTTGCTGGTCTGGTGCAAAGAAGCCTTCCGCATCTATGGCGCCACTTGCGGGAGGCGACACCAGTTGTTCTGAAGCTTGTGTGCTTGCACAGTTGGGTGCATCATGTCTTTGGCAGGATGGGCACTCCCTGGAGATTTTCGCACATCAATGCGCGAGAAACCGAGCCTGCCGTTTGTTGAAGCTGCTAATGAGGGCATAGCGTGGGTTGTGTATCACGTAAATACTGTCAAGCGAAGGGAAGCAAAGCTTGCAAACCGTTGAGCCACGTTTTGGGTGGCTTGGCATGCTTGTACTTTGGCGGTTTGTGAGTCCAGTTCCGTGGTTCAGAACAGCTTGTGACCCGAGGTTTTGACTCTTTTCTCGTACAGCTTGGAGCCATGCCCTCATGTGGGGTGTGTGTGTTGAAGTGATTCAGTGCGGACATTAATTGCATGATAGCAAGCGATGTGGCTCCAAAACTGAGACTCAAGTTCTCCCGCAGGCTTTTGGTATGTTCAACCGGTTGCCAGGGTTTCGCTTCTTGATTTTGAGACACTGTAGCATCTACTCAACTCAGTCGCTAATATTGTTACAACGAAGTACTTACAGTATACACTTCAAGGGCGAAGTCCAGCACTGCCACACAAGGTGCGGAATACCTGCTATTTTACGCTGTATCGAGGGGTTGTGTCGTTGTGCTCCATGAAGGCCATCTTGGAAGGGTTTAGCGAGGGTTCACGTCACTTGCCGCAGTAGCCAGGTTGTTCCGCATGGCCCACCGCACTTGTCATGCTGTGCAAGTGGGGCTGGTCCGGCATAGCCCCTGCAGCACGACACACGCTGCGTGTATTGTACGTGCGACCCTCCAGCAGTCTGATTCAATCAGAGAGAGGGAAAAGTGCAGTGAGCCTTCCAGAGCGATTACCTTTGGCGGAAGATCCTGGTGAATGTTCTTCCTACAAATATACCGAGCCTGGTGCTGCCCGCCAGGCGCTCCACTATTTGGCGACCCTGCCCTCTGAGAGCTCTGAGAGCTCCGAGCCACACATGCTCCGGATTCGCGCCCTATGTGCCTTGCGTGGAGCCCTGAGCTCTCCACAGGAAGAGCTGCGGGACTTGGCGCAGAGTACGGTCGAAGAGTTGAAGGCGGACGAAACCTGCTCGATCGACTCGGTCCATGGATCTCTACGACGTTTCGTGATGGACGCTTCAGCTGTGGAGCTGGAGATTGAGGATGCGGTCGACGACTTGGTGACAGTGTGGCCGGCACCGCAGGACGCGTTTCTCTCGGTCTTTAACAATGCCCATGGGAGGTTGATGCTGAAGCGTGTGAAGCCTATGGATGTACTTTGGGTACCAGAGCACAGGCCGGAAGGAACCCCACACTCTGCACACGCCTTTTTGCGCATGGTCCAGTTGAAGAAGGGTCCCTTCTACCGGGACACTGACTACATCCTGGTCACCAAAGCAGAGTACAATCATTTTCCGTGGGTCATGGAGCAAATCCGAGTTAAAGCTCAAGAATTCTTCTATCAGTATCGATCAGTTGAACTCAAAGCCGGCAGACAGAAGCTCTCATTGCATCGTGAGGCGGATGCCTTCATCACCATGATTGCAGAGAAACTTTTCTCTTTGGCGATGATCCTGCATATGCCCTCAATCCTGGAACGACAAGCAATGTTGGACGCCTCTGGCAGTTCTCAGTACCGCTGGCTCTTCGCCCAGCACTTCCAGCAGCTCCCACCCCCGCTGGAGGCGGTGAAAATCGCCTTCGGCATCGATGCCGCAGAGTGGAACGAGAACCTCACGGCCGACAGCATCTTCATGGATTGGCAAAGATCCAACCTATGGAGGAGAAAACGCACCTCCAAGCTCAAAAAGGAGAAGATCTTTCCAACAGTCAAACAGCTAGGTGACATGGCTTTAGCCACACATCTCCGACATCGCCCCTTTGTTTCAATGCTGCAAGAGCTCAACGCAGTGGAGGAGCCTCTCTTGCGGCCGTGGTACCGGCACATTCGCCCCGAGGAGCCCATCCTCAGCGTCGTCTGGTCCAGGGAGTTCCTGAAAAGCCTCAGCGCGTATTGTGCGAATGCCTTGCAAGCCTTGGAAGTGGTACAACCTGATAGATCAGCTTCCATGTCACCTCTCAGGATCATGTGCGTCGGCAGCAGTTGTTCACGCCTGCGACTCTATTTGCATTATTTGTTGTCCAAATTCCTGAAAGACAAGGCGCAGGACCTCAAGATGGTTGCCTTGGTCCCAGAACGTCGGACCAGCCACCGGGTGCAGGTTGCTCGTTGGCCTCCCTTACCTATGGAAGTCAGTGGCTTTGATCCACCAGAAGCTGGTTATACCTTGGAGGAGGCTTTAGAAGCCTATGCTCCAACCTTGGTGCTTTGTAGTTGTATGCCTCCAAATATCGATTGGTCTTCCTCTTTCCGTCGTTCTGCCAGTGTCATGGAATATCTACTCATTGGTCCAGCGGATTCCACCCGCAGTGGTCAGCTGCTGGAGACCTGGGGTCTTCGCAACGGCTTCGGGAAGCCACCAGAGCCGCCCTGGGCGGGCCGCTTCACCCGGCACGAGCTGCCCGAACTGGGCCGGTGGCTGTTGGGCACCGATGACGCGCCAGGACGGGTGGGAACCAACCGTGTGGTGAGCTTTCGGCGCCTGGTGAAGCCAAGCTTCACCCTGGCGCTGGACCAAAGGATGTGGCCGGAGTTGACCAAAAATGGGACAGGAGTCACAGGAGCTGAGCTTGCCCATTTGGTTCTGATGTTCTGCACTTTTTTGCATGCATTTTGGCTGGCACATTTTGATAAAAACAATGCTGTTGGTCTGGTTGGCAAGACTTTGAGTGCAATTTGTAAAGCCTGCTCTTGCCAGAAGTCTTGGAAGCCTTTCCACAAAAAGGGTGATGTTTTTCTCTTTGGCATTCTTTGGCTAAACTTTGTTGCTTCACGTTTTATGTTGCTGTTGTTTCAATGGGATCGTGGCATCCAGTTTTTTTCAATGGCCACTTCTCCCATTCATCCTCACCAGTAACGGGGTCAGTAGCCAACAACTTTTCATGGAGGTTCTGCTTCTTTGACTCAGGCCTGATCTTCTGGCTCATGTCTATGATGTTTTCTTCCTGCTTGGATGGAAGGTGCAAACAAGATCTATACAACTCAAACGGCACAAACGCAACCGTGCTGTTGACAGGCGGTCTTCCGGATAGGCGTGGGCATGCGTGGGCTGATGGATGGCATCGAACTGCACCCTGATAGATCATGTTAGCTCCATGGGTGCTGCAGAAAGGCGTAAGCTTGCTGGCAGTCTTGGAAGACCAGCTGCCAGCAGCTTACACTCGTGCCGGACGAGGAGATCATGGGATACAGTACTAGTTCACTTGCTTAGGTTGGGCATGGATCTTGAAGATATCTCGCACTTCTTGCACCAGCTGGCTGCTGAGAATTTAAGCATAGCATCACATAGCTGTCAAACATGAGACATAGATCGGTCTGGGGTACATGCGTCCTGCAGGTGCAAACGCCACTTGAAACTGCAGCTGGAAGCTTGAGACAACCCGACGAGCCCAACTTCTAAACAACTTGAGGAGTGACAATACAACGTCTCAGCATGCTAAGTAAAACAGTGCCTGTGGTCAAGGTGCCCGGGTGCTATTCGTACCCTGCTGCGCTTCGACGTGACTGCCAGCAGTTTGAGAGCTCGGCAGCTATGCATTTAGGGCAAGGCATCATCGTGTTTGCTGATGTTTCGGATGGTTTCAGTGTTGCAGAGAGAAGGAAGACAGAATTGGCACCGGATGGCTCACAGCCTTCATCCCTCCCGGCAAAGTCGTTGGGCAAAGAACGTGCAACAAAACATGTTTGAAGTACTTCAAGACTGTGCGACATACTCACGCAACCTCCAAGACACAACCGTGTTTGTTTTGATGAGCAGGCAAGCTTTTAGCAAGCTTATGAACTGTTTTTTTTTTTTTTTGCGTCCTTGTGATTCCACCGCAGACATGGCTGGAGAAGCCATCCGGCAGTTAGCTGTCCATGCAGCGTGGTCTGCAGCCAATGCCCTTCAGCTCAACATTCTGCAATGGTTTGGTCCAGAAACCCGCTAGGGTTCCAGACATGCTTTGCACATTTTGTAGTGAAAGAAGAGGAAGTGCTCCGAATATCTCGGAAGCATCCATTCCTCTTTTTGCGTGCAACTGAATTACGTCGACTGGAACACAGTGGAACTCAGTGGGGTGAGTGTAAGGAGAGTTTCATCTGCCATACAGACTTGCGATAATATGCAATACAGTTGATTAGTAAGGATGAACATTTGCACTCACATGATCCATTTGGTTGGTCTTGACTTGGCCATAGTGATACGGTTACGAAAAGCTTGAAACAAGCCACCGGCAAAACACCAGAACAGTCTACAAAGGGCTGCAGGTTCCATATTCCAGATTCCATCATATTCCTCGCTGACAAGGTCTAGAGTTCCTAATTACCACCTTTTCAGAAGCCGGCCAGTGTATGATAGTGTACCTACGTAAGTAGTACATGCTCCTGCCCAAAAACGAAGCCGCACAAGTCCTTAGGCGTTGAATCGTTCTACCTGATACTTGGAGTCTGCATGCCAGCTATGACAGACTTTTCTACATATATATATATAGATGTGTACTGTCAGTGCATGGCGCCCAAACACACTGAAGCCAGCATAGTGGTGTTTGATTTGACTGTCTTGCACTTCATGAAGCCTTGATTCCATCTCGCCCATCGCTCATCGCCCTGCTGACTGCAGCGCGTAAAACTGTCACGCCTCGGTGTTATTTTTTCTCTAAGGAGCGGAGCTTGCTGTATCAGTCAGCTGAAAGGGACCGTCGCCTCGTCGAGGAGGCTCGGCAGCAGCTGGCGACCACCGAGCTGGGTGAAGAGGCACTCGAGCGGGTTGTTTCCACTGTGTGGTTGCTAGTGTCGATGGATAGACAAACAAGGGAATGACAGACAAACTCCTTTCTTTTGATTGCACGGGTTGGTGTAAGCAGATGCAGGCCGCCAAGGCCGTTGAGTCGCTCTGCTTCAGCTGTGCCTGGCACGCGGCCAACCAGCGCCGCTTCTTCTATGCCGATGCGAAAAAGGACCTGCGAGGCGTGGAGCTCATGGGAAGATTGTTCAGGTCATGCCAGAAACATCCAGAAACTGGAGGCTTGGTTTTCTAGCAAATGCTATTCACCTATTCAAGGTCTTGCCGGTGTTTCCTCTAAGTTCTTATACTGTAATATTCAGTGAGACTTAGTGTGAACTGGGTGATGACAGCCCATTTGTTGTTCTTCTTTGAATCTTCCCCATAGTCCTTCAATAAACGATGAAGTTGCGGAATGCCACGAAGTGATTTCGGCGCTGTGACTTTCAGGCAAGGAGTTCTACAAAGAGCTCCTGGCGTCACTCACTTCACAGGCTCACCTGGAGGGGCCATGTCTCATGAGAGGAATGCTGCAAAATCATGCAAAAACTTGCATCCGGCATGGGAAATGTGTAGTGACTAGTGCTTGATTGACTGAAAAGCCTTTGGAGGAACTTGCAGACGCCATCACCAAGCTCTCAGAACATGCTTCCTGGCATGCTGCAAACACTAGATCTCTAATGCGGAAGGATGCTGCCAAAGATGCGAGGAGCTGACCCATTTGTTATGGCAGTTTTTTCCTGAAGCCCACTCGAGCCTTGATAAAGAATGTCTCGTTATGTGCTTTTGTAACTGAATGGCTTGAACTCTGCAGGAACTTGGAAGCAGCGGTAGCAGAACTCTCTGCTCTCTTCGATGATGTCTCTGAGGGATTCCGCACTCCAGAAGGGGGATCAGACCTTGACAATGATGCGGAAGGCGCCTCCAATGGCTCAGACGTAGCCAAGTGCCCCATGGCCACAGAGGCCTCCAGCTGTCGAAGTAATGGCTATCCTGAAGCTCTTCCGAGTCATCCAGGAGGTTCCTCAATCTTGGATGATGCCATTGATGGGTGGCAGAGAACTGTGGAGGCCTCGGCCTCATCTCAGATGGCTGGCATTTGTGCCTCAGGCTTCGTGAAGGCGGCTTTGTCCACGATCCGGGTCTTTGAAATCTTTGGGAAGATGCTGCAGAGCTTCCAAGCTGATATGCAGAGGAATGCTCATATGATCCGCCAACACCTTGGTGAGGAAGAGATCTCCTTACAACGGTTGATTGATGGCGAAAAGCAACGAGCAGGTTCATATTATGCAGCAGCTTGTCAGGAAGGCAGTGCGGCCATGGGATTGTTGTGGCTCTTGCGCGCCTTGCGCTTGTTAGAAAAGACGTTGAAGGTGTTTCTGGAGGATGAAGAACAGCCCCTCCATCGGTGTATTCAGCTGGGCTACGAAGCAAGCCTGAAACCTCACCACAACTTTCTAACCCGAAACGTCATTCAAGCCGCCATCATGGCAGCCCCATCCAGAGCAGTTTTCGTCTCCAAGCTCTGTTCAGAGCCATCAGCGTGCAGGGAGAAGATTCAGGAATTCCTGAAGTTCTATTCTCCAGTTCTGAGCAAAGCTCACACTTACGTGCTGACTTGCGGCTTGGAGAAGTGAAAGTCGGCGTCTTGCCGTCTTGAACTTGAAACCCACGGGCGCGTGCGATGACCTTTATTTTTTAATAGTTAAGTTATGTGGCTTAAACGTACTGTTCTGTACAACGTCCATGCTCATTTTTTGAAAACCATTCCAAGCTGTTCCAAGGGTGTGTCTTCTTATGTTTCAGCCACCTTGATCCTTTTGCTGGGAATTCTGAACTTCACCATTGACCATTCAACACGTTTCGGTTTGCAGTCAACCCCGGGGTTTCGAGGGTGATCATTTTTGGTGGTGCTTGGTGCACCGTATCGAAACGAGGATTCTTTCCACCAGTCTTTGCCTTCAGCCATTGCAACATGGGCTCTCTCTCTCTCTCTCTTTCTCTTGAGGATGCTTGAATATGCTAACCTTTGAGGACTCTTATCCTATTTAGTAGTCGCCTAGTAGGTCTGGAAGACTGTTACAACTAGGTGCAACTCAGACTTTGTCCTTTGAGGCCTGGAAGACTTGGAGTCTTCTTTCCAGCTCGAACGCTTCAAGGTCGCAGACCGATTCAGGGGGGACAATCGCGAGACGCGTGAATCCGTGATGATCAGAGACACGGCGAGAGACCTGAGGTGCTTCTGGCAAATGTGCCCAGCGACCATCAGGCAGGTAGTACATGGCAGTTTTCAAGGCAATTCCCGTATGGTTTATGCATGGTTGAATGGTTTGGAAAGACAGGTTGTTTTATGTCCACCGCTGTTTCACTTTCATGTCACTAGTTCTTCTCAACGATGCCGCAAAGATGAAAGCCATTGGCTCGTTTAGAAGTGCTGATTTTCAACACTCGGTTGATCCCACGCAAGCATGGCCAACTTCCGTGACTCAAGCAGCTCAACACATCATTCATTGAGTGGACCTTCAGCAGACGAGGCAGTCTGAATTATGAGTGTTTCCTTAGCATTGCCCTTTTCAGCTTAGAATGGATGCTGCGCAGCGCCTTCCTATCAGCTGTCCCCGTTGCTGTTGGCAGCTGTGAAGATGAGGCTATTTGATGACCAATTGTGTTGTCTAAGAAACCCTGACATCCAACATGACCTGCGCACGCTGCCTGTTGCATGAGAAGGTTGTCAACCAGCAAAGTGGCCAATTGGTTTTGCATAGGGGGCACTGCAGACATAGGTGCCAAGCTGCCCATGTATATAGCTCCTCTTGATGAACAACATCCGGCACAACCAGTTCACTACTTTGAAACACAAGAATTTATCCTTTTCTATGGGTACTTACCTGGTTACTTGCACGTATATATTTACAGGGTGTGCAGGATGTTGTCCATCAACATATTATTCCTCGTCTACGTGCTCAACTTGGTTACCCGACAGGTTGGGCGACTTTCTCGCGCCAACTTGGGAAGGGCCCGGTACCTTACTCTATTAGCTGGGTGTGCACCATGCTGCAGTCTGCTGGAAGTCTATCAGCAAGTCCCACTCACAAAGTGGAACGCTTTGATACAACAGAATCATAGCACTTAGTAATGATCAAGATGTGCATGATTGAATGTCCTTGACAATAGCTTGTAGGTTTTGTAGCAGAATCCGTCATGATGCTCTGTGCTCGTAGCTGTCCAGATCTAGTCCATCCCTGTCCATCCTCGCTCCGGGGCCTTCCGCCATGCGATCACTGCTCTTGGCGGTGGCCTGGCCCGTGGCAACGGCCGTGCCCAGCGTAACCCTGTCGAATGGCGTGGAGATGCCGATGGTCGCCGCCGGCAGCTGGCAGCACCTCGAAGCTTTCCACCGAGCTCGTTCGACCGTTCAGGTAGTTTTTTGGGAGAGAGGCCCCTGTCTAGCTGCAGATGCTACAACGATATGATTTGTTTATATTTGTTTGCCATATTTGGACCATTTTGCTGTTGATGTGGCACAAGACCGCTCTGAGTAGGGAGTGCCTTTTTCATGTTTGTTCCGTGTAGCGTTCGTATGATGAAAGGCCAGAAAATCGTCCTGAACTGGTCTGTCTGCGCCGAGGTACAACAGCTCAACGGCATACAGTTCCATCACATCCGCACTGAAAGCAGGCTTCACCATGATTGACACGGCATTGGATTACCACAATCAGGACCATGTTTCCCATTGTTAGGTTTAGTTTATAGACGCCAGAATGACAGCCTGCCTGATGATGGATAGGGCCACGTTGTTTTGGAAGGTGCGCGCATTCTGCACCAATGACTGTGCAAGTTTTCTGGGGGAACTGCTGGGACTGTGCCATCCAATCTGCATCAGTCTTCCAATGGTGAATTCAGAGCTCCATATATAGGCTTCACATTTCCAGGAGGCAGCATCGCCCATAACCAGTCTGGTACTTGATAAACATCTCCTGTTGAACAGGCCCTGTTGACATGCAAAATGATGTGTAAACCCGCCAGCGTGCTGGTTGTCGAACACATGAACCTTGTCAGGACGGGGTTGGCAAGGCCATTGCCGAGTCAGGAATTCCGCGGGAGAAGATCTTTGTGGAGACCAAAGTGCCTGGTTGTGGTCTGGATCCTAGCACAATGAATGTCTTCAATTGCTACCAAGCTACAAAGAGAGATTTAGAAACAGACTTGAAGCTATTAAACCTCTCCTATGTGGACCTGGTCATCGTGCATTTTCCGCCCATTTCCTCGATGATCACGCGGTCCTGCAATAGCTGGTCTGGAGGGTGTCAGATGGTCAGAGCACAGTGGAAGGCCATGAATGAGTTCTATGCGGAAGGCAAGGCGCGTGCCATTGGTGTGTCCAACTATTGCCCCAGCTGCTATGACTGCTTAGAGTCATCCAACCCTGTGATGACACGATTGCCAATGGTCAACCAGGCAGGGAGTGTCACTTAAAGTATGGGCCATAGGGGCTTCTTCAGGATTCGATCCACAAGCTTCGCCTGGTGGATTGAAGCATGTTGGCAGGTGCACATCTAAAATCTGCCCAATCTTTGGAGCACTCTCCACCTGAGGTGCAACTTCACCTCGGCATGGGCACAGATCCCGAGGGCTTTGTGTCCTACCACAAGGCCAAGGGAATTCAACTGCAGGCGTACTCTGTGCTGGGGAATTCCATGACCCATCATGCCAGCTCCTGGTCTTGAATGCGGGGCGCAGATGGATGCCGGAGTTGTTGCCGTGCTCCACCTGTTGCCTTCGCTCGTTCCGGTGGTCCGCCCCAACGCCCCCCCGAACCGCCTCGTCTTCCAATGGTCCACGTTCTCGGCGTGCATATCATATACTCTATATAGTACCGTGTAGTAGCACGGTGTGAATTAACAATGTACTAAATACATAGTACTGTATGTATAATACTGGGTGTGGGTCTTCGTTCCCCCTCAGAAGCTGTGCTATGCCCTGGCTAAGAGCTGGCATGGCAGCTCAGGCTCAGAAATTCTGAACGGCAACCTCACAACATCCATCGGAAAGGCTCACAACAAGTCTTCAGTCCAAGTGGCCTTGAAGTGGGTTATTTCCCAAGGCTGGCGGCCAGACGCGGTGGCTTTGCAATTCAAGAATCGATGGTCACAATGTGTATTTTGGAGGATAGTTTCTTTTGCGTGAGGATGACTGGATGACTAGAAAGCACTAGTGAGTCTTTGGGGTCTTCTGCGTGACACCAATATGGCACGGAGATAGCAGAGATTTGCCTCCTGTAGCTGCCAGGCATGTGAAGATTTTCTGCAGTTGACTTGGCTTCATGGGATGTTCACTTCCCGCCCGGCGCCAGGCATCCCAGCGGTGACCAAGTCATCCAGTTCGGAACATTTGAAGGAAGACTTGGATCTGTGGTCATGGAACTTGACTACTCAGGACGTCCCAAGTGCCTTTCACATGCTCGGAATGGTGTTGATGCCCCACATACCTCGGATGTCCCCAGCAGACAAAAGCATCAATATTATGCTGGAACCAGATTCCTTCCTGAAGCAAATCCTTCAAAGATACCAACTCCTTCAGCGGGTTTTACCACCACACGTTGTTCCACCAGGAGAAGCAGCTAATGGATGCCCACCGCAGCCCGAAAGGGTCGCCATCCTTTGCATGCAATGCAGCGGAGGCAGTGCTTGTTTAGCTCAGGCGGCTGAGCAGATTTTCGCACGACGTGTGAGACGTGCAGAAAGGCCCTTGGTGATTGGAGCAGAGCTTTGTATATTTGAGTGCCCCAATTCCCTTTGCCACTGCAACATCTTCAATCTTTACCAACACAGTCAGTGGAGGCCCCACCCTGCCACCACCTGGTTTTCATCCAAGCAGACGATTTCACAACAGTTCTTTGATTATCCTGCCATTTGAGGTCTGGGATGCGGCCATCAGCTATGATGACAATCCCAAGGCCTGAGCAGTTGACAGGGCCTTGGTGCGTGGAAAACCTATGGAAAACCTGCCCAGGGGCCATTGGATCCATCGATGCGCTGGGCGATGCAAGGAGCTTAGAGGGCCTTGATGGGAAGTCTCGAAAGTCTTGGTTGCCCCTCGTCTTTGACCCCTTCTCTCTGTAGATTTGTGATGAGATAATGGTTGTCATGAGGTTGCATTGCATGTGAATCTCCCCCAAAATTGCCAGACCAAAGGCATGACGGGGATGTTAAAAAATGCTGCAATTGGCAATTGGATTGGGAAATGGCGATACTAGACATGCTCGCCAAGTTGGCGACTGACTGACACGCTGAAGATATTGAACAACACCACGGCGCTTCTCTCATGCACAGGCCGATGATCAGTGCCCAGCACTTGCCTTGGAATGCAGCTTGTTTTACACCGGGTCACATGGAATAGAGGTCTCAATTTTCAATATTTGCTTCGGCCTCAGGAATCGAAGCTGCTTGGCCAGAATGGTCGGCCCCCTCTCCTGGCGTGGGTGAGATCCTTAATCATTCCCAAATCGAATGTGCTGCCTCCAGGTGCTCAGTTACTTGTGCCAGACACGCCGAGTGACGGAATGTCTACAGGCCGATGAGTTGGTCCAGACGCATCGTGCTGTTGACTGGGAAGGCGTGGGACTGGCACTGGCCACCGCCGGTTGCGGCACTCGCCAGCGCGGTCGCCCGGTGGAGGTGGGGCCGGGCAGCGTGCTGCGAGCACAGCTGCCGTTGCTAGAAGAAGCCGACCTGGTGATCTTGGTGACCTGGGAAGGCCGGTGAAACGCAGTGAAACCGCCAGTCAGGGTTGATGCCAAATTTCAGGAGCTATCACTTGAACCACGTGTATCCATTGGTCAGAATACAATACAGATGGCAACCAGATGAGACCAAATTGGCTCCTAATGAGTCATGCCCCGCTGCGCAAATCTATGCAACAGTCCATCTCCACATGGCTCACATAGTGATTGACATGCCGCCAGGTGAGCTCTCGCAGGAGCATTGGGCCCGGACAGGAGATCGCCTTGCCCATCGATGGCGCTTGGTGGAAGTGGCCACCATTAACGTCAGGAAGCTGAGGATGTTGGAGATGGGGGAATTCACGAGGAAGTCAATGTTCCACTGCCAACAGGGTGACCTGCGTGATTAATGGCAGCTGTCCTTGCGTTTGCTCAGTGCTGCTCTATGGCTCTAGGCCAACCTGCTACAGCCATAGAAACGGGCAAAGCACGAGGGCTGCAGAGCAAAGGTCTGGTTACATAGTGTGACACAACACCAAGAATTCTGC